TGGTAGTAGCATGATTTCACATTCATAAAAGTTTTGATTGTTGCTTACAAAAAACTGATCCAAGTGATTTTTGACATTGTCATTTCAAGTAAATGTCTTACAGTTAAAAAAAATTTGTATAGACCGGAACAAGTAATAATCTGAGTGGTAATAATCTGAGTGTGCTGGATCTGGCAAATATGGTTGGTGTGATAGCACATCCCATCTAAGTTATAACAGTTTCTGATGAGTTACCAAACTTGTGTGAAATTTGACATTATTGTGGTAAAACACTACATCTGTTTTGTTGATCAATTCTGGCCACCTTTTCTGTTTGATGATATTACTCAATTTGTTTACTCGATGGCAGTACACTTTTGAATCAATTGGTAAAAGCTCCCAAAAAAAAAAAATTTCCTTAAAATCCCACTAAAGAGAGCATCTCTCTTTAAGAACATGTGGAACCCATATATCAAGCTTTGAAATGAAACCAATTTGTTTCAAGTAATCATAAACAGTTCAATTTGACAAATTTCATCTCTTAGTGATTTCACATGTTGTTATTTGTCAGTTTGCTTCAATCAGTACCTTTATTTTGTTTTCACTGGCTTCAACTAGCCATCCAGAACGTAGTGTATCTTCAATATTTAAATTGCTAGAACGAAATTTTGTAATCCAGTTTTGGCACTGTCTTTCTCTCAACACACCATCTCCATACATGTACCACAATTTTTTTCTTGCTTGAACAGCATTTTGATTTTTTGGTAATAAAAAGCAAAATATGCCAAAAATGATGCTTTCGATCTTCCATATTTGATGGGACACAAAAAATAAACAATTGCACAAAATCAAACAGAATTTTTTACAAATAAGCCTTAAAATGCTAGCCGTCAAAATATATAATGATAATACAGTTTAGAATGAGAATGGTGGGAAAAATATGATTAATTTGTCTAGTGGTAAAAAAAAATGAAATTACTTTCCGAACAACCCAATATTTATAGGTGTAAATGCAATAAAAATATTCAATACATTTGGTTATATTGAGAAGTCCAAGACAAAATCAGGCAACATTGGGAATATTAGTTGCTGGCAGATGTGAAAGTTTGTTGAGGGTAATGAAGACTTTGTTAATTTATATATTAAGTTTATTTAACATTGATAGGGAAGTGAAGCCCATATGGGTAATGTGCAATCAATAATAGATTGGAAATTAGCAAAAACAAAATTAAAAAAATAGCACAAAGAGTATTTTTATTTGATGTATTTTTAAAGTTACACCAGAGCATATTGTGTCAGATGGAAATCTTTTAAATTAAGTTTTCTATGTGTAAGTGGAGAAAGCTGAGTATTTAAAATGACACGATTGCAAATGTTATTCACAATTTTTAATGGCTTGTTATTTAGAGAAAAATTATGAAAGATTGTTGTTAGTAGTAGTGATTAAATATACTTTGGGGTATATTTTATTTTTACTTATTAAAATTTTAAATTCATATTACTTATAAGAAATTATTATTAAAGGTGTCTTATCTTATAATCGAGATGGGTTGATGAGGATGATGATGATGATGATAATAATAATAATAATAAGCACAGAGCCCAAACAGTTAGGAGTTGAAATTTGGTACAAAGTTAGGGTACATCATGAGAATGTACAGCAAGAAGAGATTTTTGGAAATTCCTGCGGGGGAAAGGGAGAGAGTTAAAAATTATCCTGAAGAACTCAGCTTTTACTGTACTATTTTAGATACGGTTTTTTTGTGTTTTTGCGGAAAATTGAACATATTTTTAGACCCATCTAAAAATTTTGTAATTAGTCTAGGAAGAGGGGGGGCCTAATTCTTCTACCTGGTGAAAATGGGTAAGAACCCGGAAGGAAGAAACCCGGATTTGGAAATGTTTGGATTTATTACATTTTACTTATTTTGCACCAGTTAAAGGTTCATGTGAGTCCATTTTTTGAAAATGGGTAAGATCGGCTATAATCTAATAATTTTGCTTGGGCAAAAAGTAACGATAGTAAAGAGCAAGAAATTGCATTAAAAAATATCATCAGTGGCACAAAATTGCAATACCGAAGGTTGTGAAATTTTAAAAGATAGTGTCAAGAGTATTCTGACAGAAAACAATGAATTAGAAAGAAGACTACAGGAAGACATTAGAATTAATAACAACGTGGGACTGAAGCTACATGAGGGGTGGAATGACTTTGCTTTTACATAACCTTGAAACAGATGCTGAACACATGGGAGTAAAGTCACATCACGTAAAATGAATTCTAACAAGGCACACACAAGGCTTCACACAGTCTTATGGTGTATTTGTTTTGTTTAAGGACTGGAAACCAATTATTTTAATTAATAATAATAAGTTCATTGTTAGTTTCCTTCCCTTTTGGTTTTTAACATACTTAACAATATTTTATTATTAATAGTGGAACAGTTCACCAGAATTTGGAAAATGTGGGAGAAAATAAGACATTTACTGGTCCCAAATAATGTGATATATCACATTATTTGGAACCAGTAAATGCCTTAATTTCTTATTTACTGATGAAGGGTATCCTTGTACCCTTCATCAGTAAAAGCTGATGAAGGGTACAAGGACCCTTCTTACTATCGAGCATATCTATCTAAAACTATCGAGCATAAAATTTTTTTAATATAATAATGTGATATATCACATTATTATATTAAAAAAATTTTTATGCTTGATAGTTTTAGTTCTTTAGTATATGGGTTGTATTAAAAATTGTAAATACAGTGCACTGTATATATCAAAAATTCCTTTGTATTGTTAACTATTAGTGTTATAATTATATGTTGGTACTATGTGTTTGTAAGCTGATGAAAGGTCCTTGTACCCAAAATGTGTCTTTACTAAAATTTGAAGGTGATTATTAAAGACTAACTTTTTTGTAAAAGATCTGGTCTTTTTCTCTGTCGGCCTTGGTATGATAAGCCCTCCAATTTGTTAAATCCTATTTATTAGGCTATCTATATAAATTCTTATATCATGTTCAAATATATTTTGCCAGGGGTTGTATGTAGATTATCAGGTTTGCTATCTCATATCCCCTCCACTCAATACCTCATTCAAATCAGAATAATCCAGATGGCAGACAATTTAGTAAAATGACTATCCTGTTTTCTCATCCTGATGATTTAGTCTTTCTCAAACTCTATCATTTATGTGTACTATGTCATACAGATAGTGTTACCACCTGGACAGTCCGGGAATTGACTCACTGTCCAGGTAAACTATTAATTTTGTCTGGGAATTTCATAGAAATTGTGAAATTACGATAAAACAAAATTTTTGTAAATATTTTTACAAATTTACACTATTTTAACAGCGAAAGAACTCACACTCACTGAAACTCATCTGCAATTTTGCCATGTTAGTCTGTTTATTCCGACGTGTGGCGTGCAACCTGTCGACTTTTTCCCCCTATGTACAATCCTACATGTCTCAAATAGAGCTAAATTATCTGTACCTGTTCTTTCTTAATTTATGTTACTTACGTTACTCCTATGCAAATCCCTAGTCCCTAACTCTAACTGATTTACAACCGGCATGCACATTATTCTTCACATTGTAAAATGACATTGCACATGCGTCAGGAACTTCTGTTCGAACAAACCTGATCTGCCGGTCAGCGATTTTGAAAAGATGGCAACACTACATACAGATATGCTTGGCATTCAAAGACCTCCAAACAACTCTGCTGGTGCTCTGGTGGTATTATCTGTAACTGGATTACAAATGTTATCATTTGTGTGTGTTTGTGTTTGTGTGACACAACCATATATTAAGTTTTGCAGTAATTGGACAATTCTAATTAGGTCCATAACTTTTTGTCAATAAGAGTAATATCACAGCTAATGAGTTGTTAAAAATTTATGATTTATTTATAAAAATTACAAATTTCATAAATAATAATTTTAATGTGTTTAATAAAATTTTTTTTTACTCCCTTTGACCTTGTAGTGGAATTTTCTTTTATAATGAAATTCAAAAATAATTATTCAAAACAATATTTTAAGTGACAATTATTAGTTTGTCATTTAAAATTCTTCAAAAAATGACTGAATGGACAGATATCTATTTGATTTCAAATAATAGTTGTAATCAGTGAGCAAGAAGCAGTAGAAAGCAGTTGAAAGCAGTAGAACAGTATGAAAGGAAATACACAGGGCTTTTTGAAATGATTGTCAGGATTTGACAAATTTATTATGACTACTATATAATTCTCAAAACTATCATTTCTTCTCCAATGTATTTAGGAACAAATTACAAACTGGACAGTTTCTGAATATATTGCAGCTGATGCATTACAGTTTCTCTCATATACATTCACAGTTGCCAGGAGGCAGTTTTCACAATGTGGTTGCTAGCAGTAGTGAAAAGACAGTTTATGTTCAGAATTTTATGAAACAGTCTGTTACATTGGTTCAATGGAATTTTTGTATAATGTATCATGAGACATTTTCAGACAATTATATTTAACAATGGATGTCAGTGTAAGGAGAAAATCAATGGCTGACCCTCAGTTTTAAACAAAACTGTGGAATGTGTAAGGACATAATGAACGTGAAGCCCAAAAAAATTGATTCCTGCAGGTTCAAGAGAACTGGGTATTCCACAAACAACAGTTTAGCCTGTTTTAAGGAAATGTCTTCATATGAAGCCATACCACATAGCCATGCATCATGCCTTAATAGCTGACAATACACATTATTTCAAATATGAAGTGTAAACATAAACTGTATATTGTAATGCATAATACAGTAAGAAGTGTATATTTTATGAAGACATTGGAGCAAAAATGATAGTTTAGTTATTTACACAGTAAACATAATTCATCAAATCCCAACAATCATTTTGAAAAGCCTTGTATTTATATAAATAAATATTAGAAAATAATTATTTTTATATTTAATAATCATTTGTAATTCTAATTAATTACAAATTAATTAATTAATGTATTTATAGTTCTTTTTACCTTTTTCTTCCAGATTTAATTACAACAAAGCATTACAAGAATGTTTGGATTTTAGCCAGCATTAAATTTCTCTACATTAGAAATAAATTTATACATAAGAATATTTGAGATTAAAAAAAATTATTATTATATATCAAATATCTTAATTAAAAACTACATTACTCATTTATAAGAGAATAAAAAGAATATTTGAATTTTTGTTATATGGCATTTAATAAATAATCAAGATAAAATTGCTAGTGTTAAATATTATGAAATGAATCGCAATATTAAAACTATGTCGAAATTATTATTATATACTATCAAAACAGTATGAAAGGAAAGCGGCACAAAAAGAATAAAACACAGAAAGATGATGCCAAAGATTCAGAATTAGAGAAAGATAATAATTGTAATAATATAAGTGATCCATCTGTACAAGTCTATGATTCTAAAAATGTGCCTTATGTCTCACAATTAGATTCTTTTTCTGAAACAGATGAAATAGCAAATAAAAACTTGGTAAATCATTCATCATTAGATAATAATGGAAGTATTTTTTCTGAAAATGGAATGTATTTAAAACAAGAAAAATATACAAAATTTAATATTAAAATTGAAAAAGAAGAAGAAAACATTTTTGGCTTAGAAGACATTCCCAATAAGAATTTGCAATCTGAAAGCAATTTACATGATTCAGAAGTATCAAGTGTAGAAACAGAACCATTAGAACAGCCATTTGATAATTTCTCTAATGATTCAACAGATAGTTTTTCTTTATCAGATTTATATGAAAATAATAAAGCAATTCCAAATTATTATAGCGGTGAAAACATTGATGTAGTAAACTCTCTGTCTTTTAATAAATGTGATAATGATGATGATGATTTATCAGGGTCTGAACGTACTTTAGTAATAGATTGGGATCCAGATGAGAGGCTATCTCTGGCTGATGAAAATAGTAATAGAAGTATAATTGAAAGCAGTAGCCGTTCTTCTGTTATCAGTACTGTTGAAGCCGACTATGTTTGTTTTGAAGATGACATTCCAAAGATAAATGAAGAAGCTTTATTTCAGCGTCTTGTCTTTAAAAATCTTAGTACTGATGAAGAATCATTACATAGTGAAGCTAAGAGTGATTCAGAATCAAATAATAAAGAAATAGTAGAAAAAGTATTGGAAAAAGCCAATAATGATGATAGTGAAAATTCAAAGAAATCAATAATAGCTGAAAACTTTTGTATAGAAAACAGTGATTCAAATACTGAAATAACTCCAATTTGCAGTGAGATTAAATTTGATAAAGATGAAACAGAGAATGATGAAATTCATGATACTAACAATAAAGAATCTTTGTCAAATTTCCACAGTTTAACTCTGAAAGGATTGATTCCTATAAAAGAAGAGAAGTTTTCAGATGATGAACTTATTGATTTTGATAAATCCAGTTCAGTAGAAGAATTTTCCGAAAGTAAAGCAAATGTTAAAATTTCTGAAGATAAATATAGTGTTATAAAATCTTCATCAAAAGAAACATCTTTGAAAGTAAGATTTAAAAAATTAAAAGAAAATAATAATGAAAATCTAATAGAAATAGATGATAACAGGAATAATAAAACAAAATATGATAAAATAGAAAAATCACCATCATTTTATCAAAAAAAATCTGAGAATAAGTTATGTAAAGTAAAAGAAAAGATTAAAAAAAGTAGTACTAAAAAAACTATATTATTAGAAACACTTGATGAAATTCCAACTGTATTAAAATCTAAAAGAAAATCTAATAAAATCTCACAAAGAAAGAAAAAAAACAATTTATTAAAAAGCAGGTGGGAGAATGTTCTTAGATCTCGTACTAAAGATGTAACTGTAGCAAAAGAATTAGGTAAAAATTTGACTGAGGTAAATAAAGAAACTGTGACTGAAAGTCAAAAATTGTCTCAAAAGTTCTTTACAAAATGCAGTAAGGGGATTCCAGCACCTGTACCATTTCCTAGACCATCTGTTCCTATCACCCTAAATCATATACTAGCTGAAATAGGAAGCTGGAATGTCAACTGGCTTGATGAGCAGAAGTCAAACATTGATCCTCCTCCTGATATTTTTGATACTTGTAAAGCCAGGAAACCTAATCTATCATATGTTTGTTATGATGAGTATTATGATACTTATGCTCCATTTTTAATGTTAGAAATCTGGCAACATGTGACTAACTGTTGGCAAAGAAGAAATATAAACAATACTGGCATTGTTTCTGTTTCTGTATCATCATATGAAATTAAAGGTGAAATAATAATACTTCACTGTAAAACTTTATTAAATGATCAAAGCAAACTAAGAAAAAACTTTCCTTATGTGGGCCACCTAGTCATTTTATACTTAAATCTTCATGGATGTATTGGACAGGCTCAAGTGTTTGGTTATGTTGTAGATTATAAAGTTGAAGATATAGTTGTTGATCACCAGTACAATTCAATATGCATGATAACGCAGAGAGAAAAATCAAGCATTATTTCATTAATTATTAAAACTAAAGCTAGGGAAGGCAGGTTAAATTTTGAAAAACCAATAAGAATAGAAACTGTTTGTTTATTAAAACCTTTAATTATTCAAAGTGAAGCACTTTTAAATATTCATAAATCAATGTTAATAAATAGCATTCTGTGTCCTCAGGAAAGAAATTGTACAAAGTCATCCAAGTCTTCATCACATTCAAAATCATTGTTAGCATTAGGATCATATAATAGGCAACAAGAAAAGATCATATTGGAATTAACTGAAGCTGTTTATGATCCATATCCTCATATATTTCTTATATCAGGGCCTGCAGGTACAGGTAAAACTCATACTATAATTGGATTGATCCAGCAGTTGTTGTGTGAAGATGGTGGTGCACATAAAATGAAATTGCTGGTTATCACCCAAACTAACTGTGCAATTGATGAAATTTGTTATCGTTTAGTTAAATTACAGCAATTTTTTAAAAACAGTTATCAGCGAGAATTAAGATTTGTTCGAGTTGGAAAAGCAGAAAACACCCGTCCCGATTTACAAGCCCATTGTATAGAAAACTTAATTAATTTCAATATTGAAAGAAATAAAGAAGATTTACAGAATAATGAAATTAAACTGCTTGCTGTTGAAAATGATATTGCTACAATGAAAAGCAAACTTCAGACATGTAATTATGAAAATGAAATTTGTTATGATGGTACACAAGAGAAAGTGGAACAGCTGTTACTTGACAGGAAATTTTACCATAAAAGAGTAAGTTATCTTAGGTCTAAATTTCATATTGATATGGAGAAAACAAGAGGAAAAATGAGAAGTGAAATACTTGAAAATGCAGATGTAATTTTAACAACAATCCTAGATTGTCGATGTAGTGCTTTATTGTCAATATATGGTAATATTGGTTACTGTCGTTTTAATTGTTGTATTATAGATGATTCAACTCAACTAACTGAAGTAGAAACTCTTGTTCCTCTGTTATATGATACTGATAAACTCATTTTAGTAGGAGATCCTGAACAACTCACTGCAAATGTTTCATCAGCTGTAGCTAGAAGATTTGGTTATCAACAGTCATTTTTTGAAAGATATCAAGCTTATTTTGAGAAACTTTGTGATACATTTCCTAATAATTTTTACATTTTGAATGAACAGTATCGCATGCATTCAGACATATATTACTTTTCTTCTTCATATTTCTACCAAAATAAAGTCATTACGCCTCCACAAGTCGATAAAAATCGTCGTTTCTTGCACATGCATTCTTGCATCATTTTTGACATAATGGATGGTCAGAATTCTACAGAAAGTCCTTTTAATATTTTTAATCTTCAGGAAGCACATTTCATCATACAGTTATGTTCAGAAATATCGAGATTTATTAAATGTGATTGGAATGCTGGTATTATCACACCATATGTTGGACAATGTGATATGTTGAGGAAGAATCTCCCTAAAGAACTGAAAGACAAACATCATGTCGAAATAGGCACCATTGATTATTTTCAAGGTCGTGAGAAAGACATAATAATACTGTCCTGTGTTCAAACAAAACACTTATCTAATTGTACATTTCTCTCAGATTTTCATCTGTTCAATGTGGCAATTACCAGGGCAAGAAATCTTTTAGTAATATGTGGAAACATCAAATATTTACAAGAATGGCCATTATGGAAAATGTTTATTAAAGAAGCTGCTAGTAAAGATATGGTTGTTCATACAAAATCCTTCAGCAGTAATTTAATTGTACATTTATCAGATAACAGATAATAACATATCATTTTTGTTTTCATTATATATATGCAGAACATTCAAATACTATTTTCCTTTTCAGGAACTAAACTTTCTTCCTGAGCAATTAGCTCCAATTTAAGATAATATTATAGTCCATGTATCAATAATATCAAATTTATGTCAAATCTATGTGAAAGTACCCATAAGACAAATAATTGTCTTCTTACACACATTATCATATAATATCTATTGTACAAAAGTAGTCAGAAGTATTAGAGTTTTGTATTATATATATATTGTGTCCTCAGAAACTTATCAGACATTATTAAATATGTAAACAAGATATCTTCATAAATGTGCAGCTTAACAAAACAATCAAATTATTTGTCTTATAAGACTGAATAAGTTAATTTCATTGAAAAGAAAGCAGTAACTACTGAAAAGGAAAATAGTCAATTATATTATATACATGTATATAGGTTACCATATCACATATAAATGTAAAAATGTTTTGTATAATTCATTTCAGCTTCCATTTACACAAACATAATATATATATATTACATACATACATACATACATACATACATAACATACACATGCATAGACAAAAATGTACAGTTTAAATGTAATTAAAGTATTATATCTTAGAGTTTAAATTGAAAATTCTTTAATGGTAACAAATCTGTATTTTGTTACATTAAAAGAATTTCTTCTTTAAGCTCCAAGAAATATTATCCTAGTTACATTTATCAGTAAAATAAGAATTAGTTTTCAATTTAATTGTATAAGTTGTTGCTAAAAGCTTACATAGTGTAGAGTTAAAGTGAATTAATAAGTTCTTTTAAAAAGAATTGAAGCATTAAATATTTACTTTGTGTAATAACATTTGACCAAACAAAATCTCAATATTTACAATATAAATATTTTAAGATATCTTGTATTATATTTATGTATATATTTAGTATATTTGTTTATTTCATTTGTCTTCAATAAGACTATAACATCTTATATTCCATTGTTAAAACAGGAAAAGCTGCATTAAAAACAAATCAGTTTTTTCATTCTCAAGTAAACATTGCTTTATTCCTACTTCCTTAAATTCACATATGCAAGCATTTCTCTGAAAAATATTTTCAAAACATTTTCATTTGCATATGTTCAATCCAAATAATTGTTTACAATTGCATTATAAAAATAAATATTTTGAGATGAATCTTCTGATACATTTACCTGAAAATAAATTACTATATTACACAACTATATTACAAAATCAGTTTACTGCCATATTATCTTGTAATTGATATTCATTACAATATTTTCTATAAGTTCTTCTAAAACAGAGTATTTTGTATAGTTTTTCTATACAAAAATACATAAGTATTTTTTTTCTATACTTATACAGTTCTGGAATAAGAAACTTTTTTTCCTGTCATGTACTTTTTAATTTTCATTAGTGTCACTGATGTGCTGGAATGATAACTATTCTGAGATTATTTGAATATTTTTGACACTCGTTTACATTATTATTCATTCATTTTTCAATTAAATGTATGTACTACTGTTGTGTTGTTTCAATTGAATTTGAAAATTGTTATATTATTTCTATGTTTATGTTGACATTTTATAAAATAGATAAATGTGATTTTTTTCATTATCAAAGAAAGACCAAATTTTCATGTGCCAAATTTTCAATCATATTTTTTTTTTTTTTTTTTTTGTTATTTATTCAATAAGTTCCAAATACTTACATTGTGGAATCATTGTAGGAATTATTTGTATTTACCCCAAAAAATGTGTTCTAAATATGAATGTAATATTAAAGTTTTAGACAGATTTTTTTATGTAACAATGAGACTTCCTTGCTATAGAAATAACAAAATGACGTGACAGCTATAGCATTAAAATTTTCCCTTATGTAAATAGTCACTAAGCAACAATTTGATTTTTTATGAAAATAAATGTTTTAACTGCTGTACTGTGTTTCTTTAATAGAAATTTTTTTACATTTGTATGAAGTTTTTACTTTTGTTAATTATCAATTACAGTAATCTCATTATGATAATCAGAGAAATCTTATTTTTTCTTGGTAACATAAAATCATTAAGATAAGGTGATAAATAATCCTTTATCTACATGGATTGAGACAAAATTTATATAAATTTTCTTAAAATATAGAAAATACAAAGTTTTTATAGGGAAATAAAATATAAGACGTATTTCATTATGATAACATTAATAGTTTTGCATAATTTTTTCTTTCATAGTTATCAAATTAAAGAATATTCTAAGCTAAAAAAATACAACAGATTATTCTAAATATTTAAAACATCACTAAGAAATTTATTGACTAATGCAGAAATTTTTAAATTACACATACCCATAATAAAAGTTTCCTAAATTGTCAGAGCATTCGAGATAAACTTAAGTTTTTCACGAAATTCATATTACACAATGTACTTTCATCAATCCAAATCAACTATTATTTTTCCTTAAATGTTTTAACCAAATGCAAAAAGGAATCGCAGATTATCTTAAATGCATGAATTTGTAAATATGTATCGCCTATTCCCTAAACTATAACTATTCAACATTTAATAGCATATATTCTAATATTAATATATATGCTGGGCAGCCTACAAATTGGTGCATAGTACATTATGTTGATCTTGCTCCATATCATTTATTAATTTTGTTTTTATCGACAGAAAAGAGACTAACGAGGGGACGGCAAAACTCAAAATTAAACGAGAAAATTAAGGTTGGAAAATAGATTTCTTAGTTAAAAAATCAAAATATCTTTATTTTCACCTGAAAATGTAGATATTTTGTTTTGATTTTTTGACTAAGATTTCCTGTATTTGATAAACGGAAACTACACCAGTATAATAAGTATTTTCTTTGGACTTATTTTATTTATAATAAGGATACAAATAGAAATTACGTTATTTTAAGTGAAAACTTTTCTCCCGAAAGTAGTTAATAGAAGACCGGCACGATTCTATTGTTAAAGGAAAAGTATGATGTACAGGGGCAAGACACTACAGTACTAATTTGGGGTGGAGAACGTATATTTTAAATGGAATAAATTAAAAATTGCAGCCCAGCATTGTGGTAATGCCACAATAAATAATTGCTCGTTTATTTTTTTTATAAAACTACGAGTGTATACCATAAACAGAGTAATAAAACAATATTATTAGCGCATTTTTATATTTTAATCATCAAAATTATTAAGATTTCGCAATATACGGTAGAAGAAAGATCGTTGGGATAGATTTAGAAGATAAAAAGGAGTAAAAACGTAAGTAAATGTGCGAAGTTTTCTCGATGGAATTTAGAATGAAAGCCGATCTTGATAAATAAAACCATTAAAATATTTGTAATATATCAACCGATCAAAATATTTAAATCTTTCGAAGAAAGATGGGAAGCCCGGGCGAATTCTAGCAATATTAGAGTCAACAGTGAAAGTCAAATTACACATTTTGTTAAACGTTTCGCTTATTAATAGCTGAAGTAATCTTGTGTAAAAGGGAAGGTGCAGCCATTGACCAGATGAGCAATCCATAATCAATGCAAGATTGAAAATTAGCATTAAAAATGGTCCTCAATGCTCTTTCATTAATTAAAGATGGGCTTACAAAATCGCCATAAAATTCCATGTCTGATAACCAGGGATTTAACTAGTTTATCAATATGATTTTTGAAAGTAAGTTTGGTATCAAAAACTACACCTAAATCACTAATAGAAGTTACGTAATTAATTGGATAAGAATCGATGTAAATAACAAGTAATAGAGGATTACGAATTAAAGCGTAACACATAACCACTGTTTTTTCTGTACTAATTTGCAGATTTATACATATTTATTAATAAATATCAGACTGTAAGATAGATGGATCAGAACAGATTAATTTTATGTCATCGGCACAAGCTATGAGATTTAAGACGGCAGAAAAGTTTGTTTAAATATATTGAAAAGAAAAGACCGCTAAGAACAGATCCTTGTTCGATACCACATAAAGGAACAAAATCGAGGAAAGTATAATCACCTATTTTTATTTTATAAGTTTTGTTTTTTGTTTTATACATTTTAGTGGTATAATTTTCAAAGTGTACGTCAAAAAAATAGTATCATAAACTTCTGAATTTGTTTGTCCTATGAAACTACTAATACAGTAAGAGGAATTTATTTCTTCTAATTCTATGTCACGACTTGGTGCATTTATCGACACTTGGCAAATAATTTCATCATCCACTTTTAATTCATACAGATGTGCGTTTCGGGCTTTCGCCCCTCTTCAGTCTGTTACATCGATAGGTTGTGACTTGTGTATACAGTATCAGTCAGGCACCTTCCGTACTTCCCACTCCCCTCCCGACTTGACGGTAAGACGGAAGGTGCCTGACTGATACTGTATAGACAAGTCATGACTGTATACACAAGTGGATGATGAAATTATTTGCCAAGTGTCGATAAATTCACCAAGTCGTGACATAGAATTAGAAGAAACAAGAAGAAGAAGACACGGTTTCGACAAATAAATAAAAGGAATTTATTTATTTATTTTGCACGTAAGATTGTAAACTTGAATTTAGAAATTCTATATACGAACTGCTTGTTAATTTTCCAGACTTCGAACACGTCACTATAATATTACCATATTCGCTTTGTAATTCTTTTACTTTTTTTTGTATAAGTGGACCGATTGTACAGTACAGTAGATTCTTGTAAACACAAAAAGACAGTTGGTAATAATTTTCCGAATCCCATATATACATGAATATTCGAAGATATTTATTAAATAAATATAATAGATTTAAAAATATGAAAACTAAAGTAAAAATTATAGTTTTTAGAAAAAAAATCTTGTTACCGACGAGATTCGAAGCACGAATTATCTGATTATGAACCCTGCAGTGCCACTGAGCCATCGACCATATTGAGAGCGATGGAAATTCTGGAGGTTTAAAATAATTATACAATTTTTAACCGTTTAATTTTGAGTGTGTGCCCTATTGCTTGGCACATGTTAGTCTTTCGGGATGCGCTATATCCTCAGCGAGTTTGACCAAAATTGGTGAGCCAACATCATGCCGTCCTCTCGTAAGTTACACTTTTAGATAATAAAACGAACGCTTTGAGTACAATTTTCTGATCCATTAGGTATGATTTTGATGTAATTTGTAAAAGTTATTAAGAAAGGAATCAACATTTTTTTACGCTGATTGATTCCCAGATGTTAGATATAATTTTTTAAAATTCGTATTTACAAAGTACAGTAATATCCGAAAAAAAGTAATGTAATTGAAGGTAACTAATTTTCATAATTAATCGCTTAGTTATGTAAAATTTTTATTATTTTTTTAATTCTACCTTGAATTATGAAATATTGTTGGGACATAAAGGGCTTTATGAAACGTGTTACCAACAGTTTGGATGGAACAGAGGATAATGGCAATGAAATATGAAACAAGAGCGGTGAGAATGAAAGTTCAGATGAAGATGAGAGTGATAAACTATTTGTTTCAATTTCTTTCCAATAATTTTTTATACAAATTATACAAAATGTCCCAAATTTCTATTTCCGATTGGTCCGAACTGTTCTTTTCTGCATCCCCATTGGTCTCCGAGCGGTGCCAGGGGCGCGATTCGGGTGGCGAGGTGCTGACCACCCCTTCTCCCTCGATGCGGACCCGCTCTCCCGAAGGATTGGGTTACATTCTTTCTCGAACGATTGTCCCGTAAATTACAGTGTTTTTCTTCCCTTTCTGAGAGGATGCAGCTGTGTCCGCACGGTCCTGATCCCACGCCCCCTTCTGAAGAAGCGTTTACTTTTTCGCTTTAGAATCGGTGTTGGGTGACCGCAAAAACTTTCAATCAGTGTCACTCCCTCTCCCTCTCACGTAATCTACGACCGGGAATATGACAATTAGATTTCACAGCACCCAATTTCTCCACTTTCCCTACTTCGCGCAAAGGAATATATCACCCGTTTATAGACGTTGTTGGACGATCCTTCTCCCGTATCGTCGGGTGAGGTCTCGGCTTCACTTAACTATATACAAAATTCCGGTCTGGATCGGAAGTTACGTGATTTTTAAAATTAAAATATTAAAAGTTGCAGCCCGGCATTATGACGATGTCACGATAATATAGGCTATGTTCGATTCTTCTTTTTAATTAATTGTATTGTTTGTGTAACGTCAGCTGTGTTTGAATAAAGTATTTACATCTGAATTCTGAATCGTCATTTTATCCGTGACAATAACTTATAAATATACAGATACAGTTAAGAAGTAAGGGACAGTAAAGTAAGTAAGTACTTTTTAAATTCAGTATTGAAATTTGTATATAACGCGACATATCTTTCATCTTCGTTCCCTGACCGTTAATTCGTCCATCAAATTCCAGAAATTGTCCAGAATCTAATATCAAATTCAGGATTAATCCGCCATAACTTGAAATTTACGTACTGTATTTTTACATTCGAGTGTTTATAATCAGGATAGAGACATTTAATAACGCTTTAATAAAAAATACTGTCATTATTAATTAATACCAACTTATTATCTTATAAAAATTCACACTATAATTTAAGTCTTTTCGGTTAATGTTTATAACGTTTGCACCCCGTGTAGTTTTAGCATATGGGTCGTTCGTGTGTATTGGTCTGTTCGACTTCCAAGAAAAGCGTAATTTACAAAACATTCCCACGTTTGAAACAATTTAGCTGTCAGAGTTCCTTTCGTTTTAGCCTCAGAAAGCCATTGAAAGTTCGGTGAGTTCCTTTCGTTTTAACTTCATAAAGCTATTGAAAGTTCGGTAATATTTAAGCAGAGAAATTAACTAATGACATAAATTTTTTTATTTTTTAACTGTGCTTCCTTCAGTACAGTATTATAAGGTAAAAATTTACTTTAAGCACACATCACACATTTGTTTTTTCTTATTTTTTTTCAAAG